GGCTTGATTTAGTTTATGGTTTCAGAGGATCCAGTCCATGGTAAGCTGGCTCCAAGACAGAGACATCATGGCGGAAGGGCCTGGTGAACCAAGCTGCTTAGCTCTTGGCAGTTGGGAAGCAGAGCAGGGGAACAGGGCCAGAAAGGAAGTGGTCCAGGACCAAATATAGATCCGAAGGTCACTCCTCCATGACCCATCCAGATGCACCCAGAAGTGTGCTTTACTCATTCTCTGGGTGACTCCCAAAGCCAATCAAGTTGACAATCCACCTTAACTGCCACAACACCTCTCAGTCGAAAGGGGCATCATGGTTTTAGCTGGTTGGGGCTAAAATCTACCTGTCCTCAGGTGACGCAGCTGGTTGGGGCTCTTAGGAAACAAATAAGGTAGATGGATGGTGGAAAGGGGGAGGGGCCAGGACTTGGGCGCCATGACAGTCTGGGGCACCTTTCCTGCTACATCTTGATCCCCTGATTTCCCAGTGCTCACCAGAATATGCCTGAGGCTTGGCCAGCAGCTCCTCACTCACTCTCCAGACACCCAGAGCAAGAGTAGGCTTCCAGGGGAATCCCATTAGAATGTCACTGGATCACCCAGGAGTCAGTAGGGACAGTGGTGAACGTGGCAGGGAGACTTCTCCCAGTCCTGCCCATCGAGGGCTGGCAGTGGTCTTGGTGCCATCAACGTGAGATGGGCCTGAGTTTTCCCCCAGGGCTTCTCGACCACAGCCCTGCTGACATGCTGGGCCGGATCACTCTCTTGGGTCTGTCCCATGCTGGGGAGGATGTTTAGCCAGGAGGACCTCCCGTTACGGCTTCTGCCACACTTCCAGACATTGCTGCATGTCCCCTGGGTGGCAGAAGTGCTCCCAGTTGAGGATCACTGATCTAATCCAACACCTTCTGACTGGGGAGAAGAAATAGACTCAGAGAGGCCAAGTAAGACACTGGCCCAGCTAACACAGTGAGTCCGGGGCTGTGGAAGTGGGCTTGGCCTCTGGCTCCCAGCTCCCAGACAGGTGCTCTGACCTTTGCAAGCCCAGCAGAAGTTGTGATGTGTATGATTTTGATAAAAGATGCAACTCAAATCCATCTAAAATCCAAGTGTCCCATAGAAGCCCCTGCGGATGCTCAGGCAGAGCAGGCATTAATTACTGCCCTTGGCTTCTAAAACAGGTGGTGCTCATCCAGGCAGGGCAGAGATGATGCCTTCCGAGTCAGGAAGCTGGACCTGGGGCCCAGACAGCGAAGAGCCCCCTCCCGATAGCGCCAGGGTTTGCACTGGCTGCTTCACTCAGCTCCTCGTGATGTCTTCCTCAGCCTTGCCATCCATAAATGTTAACCTTGAACAGCATGTGAGTCCCAGGAAGTGAGAGACTGTGGTTGACGTGGTCCACACCACTCAGGATGTCACCCTGTGCTGTACTGTGAAACTTGTTCTGGGAAAAGGCTATTGAAAAGACCTCCCCCCTCCCACATGTGTGCATGCATGCGTGTTCTGGGGGTCAGAAATAAGCCTAAGGATTGAGCTTGTCATAGCAGGGAGGGTACATGACTTCATTCATGCATTTGATTTTATCATCCTACAGTCAGTGGCTCTGGCACAAAATATGCAAACCAGAGGGAAACTGCATGGAAATTACGCAGCACATTAGTTCTATTTCCAGCCGTTTTCTTCTGCTTCCCTGAGGGGAGCCTCTGACAGAGCACCCAGAAGGGGTTCTTATTTCTCCCAGCTCCTCCCACAGTCTTGGGGTCAGGGTCAAGTTCTGCCTTTGACTGCAGATCACTGAAGCTGAGCATGACCTTGGAGATGCTCAGACACCCCTTCAGTGCCCTGTTATTCTCCGGACAAAGCTTGCTTACGTGCAGAGATCATGAGGCTCCGAGCCTGGGAGTGTTCAGTGCACAGTAGCTGGAGACAGCCGATGATGCCTGAGGGCTGACTCAAGGCTCTTCTGATCAAGCTCAGGATCTAGTCTGTCCCCAGAGCTGGTCACATTGGCCCCACTGCGGCTGGGACCACTGAGTCACTCCCATGAGTGGCTCCAGACAGCTGGGTGTCCTCACAGACTGCTGCTGCTGCTGCAGCTTCCCTGGCCAACAGGAGCCTGCTCCAGCTTAGAGGTCAGGGGCAGAAAGCTGGGTAGGGTGCTCAGCTTTGAAACTGGCCACAGGGGCCACTGAGGCTTAGCAGAGAGGCTTCCTCCATCCAGGGTTGGGGTGATCTTAAGGGTCTCCAGAGCCCCTGAGCCCGGCCACTCCCACAGCTGGCCAGTCGCCCACCCACCTGACTGCTCCTGATCCCCAGCACCCTGGTGACAGTGGTGACCTAGGACTTGGCAGTGCCACCACCGAGGCCCAGCTTGGGATGGGATTTGGTGGTCCTGCATCCTGGGCGTCCCCTTGTTATTAGATGGGGTCTCAGGGGAGTGGTTTCCAGGTTCTTGGGATCCTGAGCAAAGAATTGAGGACACTCAGAAAGAGTATCAAGAATAGATTTAGTAAAGGTGAATGTACACTCTACAGGAGAGAGCAGGCCGGTGAGGAGAGCTTCCAGTCTCTCAAGGTCCTGGGTCTATGGGGAGAGCCATAGCTGGGGCCAACAAAAGTCAAGGTCCAACCGGGAACCTGACTCCGCCCACCTGTTGGAAGGGCGCGTTTTCTACCACACAAGGTTTCTGGAAGATGCATCATGGACCCAAAGCCCACTCAGGGAGGTTGGTGGGGTGGTGTCAAAATCACGATGCAAATGAGGCTGGGTGCAGGCCAGCATCCTGTGGTTGTAGGTTTGCACATACATGTGGGTCTTAGGGGGAGCGGGGTGGCCTTTATCTACTGGTGTCTTGCTATTTTGACATAGTCATCATTGCTCAGCCTGGTTTCCAAAGTCGTTGCCTACAGCTTCCTGCTATTTACTGTCCTTGCTCTGCTTCCTCCCGGACTCTCTCCCCTCCTCTATGCTCCTAGGAGCTCAGCGCAGAACCTCAGGCCTTTGCTCAACTGTGCTGAGCAGCAGCCGCTCCCTATGATCTGAGCTTCTCAATCCTGGAGACACACTTGGTTGTCATAACTGCGTGGGAGGTCTTGTTTCTAAAGTCACCCAGTAGAGCCCACAGGGCACACGACAAGCCCTTGCGACAAAGAGCGGTCTGGCCCAATACAGTGATGCTGTGGTTGGCAAACCTGCTCATAGGTTCTGCGTTCCAGGCAGAAACTGCTGTTGGTGTTGGCAGGCAGCCACTGGGGGCTGGAAAGGGAGCGAATGGACCCCTCACAGCTTTAGGGAGCAGCCCAGGGAGACTGATTTTGGACTTTTATGTTGTTTTGAATCACTAAATTGGTGGTAATTTGCTACCACTGCAATAGGAAATGAATACACTGAGGAAGAAGAGAAAAAGGGTGGTGGATGTGGGGGTTTCTATACATATCTATCCAGGTGGGATGCCTGGGACTCCGGGCGGGAAGACAAGTCGGTCTCAGAAGGATCTCGAATGGATACCCAGGAAGCTGTCGGGGCATCACTGCTCTTCAGAGGACTGCTCCTTGGAGCCCTTGGCTTTGTTCTCTCCCTTTGCAGCCTGGCTGGCTTCTGCAGCCCCATCCCCTGCTACGGCCAGAGCTCACCTGAGCTGCTCAGCACCAGTCACCAGAGCTTTCTCCTTTGCACGCCTGAAGCCTAGGCCAGGGATTCTGATTGGCTGAGCTTAGGTCAGGTGTCCCCTCTGGTCCAATCAGGTGCATCTGAGGGGTTCTGGGCAAACAGGTGGGGCTGCCTGGTCTCCTGCCTCACTGGGACAGCCCCACAGGGGCAGACGCGGCTTGGGCTCGATCTTCCTGTGGGCCCATCCGAGGCTGAGGTGGGGTGAGCAGGAATCTATTGGAGAAACCCCCGCCCCCCCATTTGTAAAAGAAGCAGACAGGGTGCTTGGTGAGAATCCACGTCCTCCCGGAAAGGTGTCAGCCCCTGCCAACTCCTGTGTCAGGCTGACCTCAGCTTGGGTGAAGACACAAGGCTCCTGGGTGTGCTCCCAAGGGATGACATCTCGTCCCCAAACAGCTCACTGGAGCCCCAGCTCTTTCTCCAGCCATTGCTGAGGCCTCGAAGCAAGCTGGGGGTGAGGATGGGGTCAGGCTTGGCAGGAGGAAGCCAGCTGGTCCCTTGTGGGAGGCAGCAGGCTCCCCAGCCTGGGGCCACACAGGTGCTGGTCCTGGGAGAGCCCTGCAGCTGGGCAGCCCCAAGCATGTCCGGCCCTGCATCCCTGCATCCACCTTGTGGCCACTCTGCCCTTCAGTGCAGCCCCAAAGAGAAGTGAGCCTTTTGTATGTAAATGAGGATTCAGCTTGCAGCTTTGTGGGGAGAGGGCAGGCTTGAGGGTGCTGGTAGGGGCGAAGCTTCCTGAGGACTCTGCATTTCCCTCGGCCCCACACTTTCTCCTTCCCCTCTCTTGGGGTTTAGATCTAAAATGCCCCCCAAAGCCTCATGTGTTCAGAGGTGGGCCTTTGGGGAGCTGACTGGATCACAGGGTGCCGTACTCATCAGTGGATTAGTGCTGCGGATGTGGGGGTCCTGGGGCTTCTGTCCTCTGACCAGGTGTCCCCTGAGCCCTTGTGGAATTTCAGCCCCCTCATGTAAGTGTGGTAATTGCTTTTTGTAGTGAGCTCACGTTTATTCTTTGCAATGTGTTCTCTCCAGCTGAGTCCTCCCCTGGACATGTGCATGATTTTGGTAAAAGTTGTTGTTGCTGTTGTTGTTGTTTTAGCTATCACAAAGAACTTCAAACACATGGAAAAGTATGAAGAGCAGCACCCTGAAAGCCCGGATCACTCCACTATCCAAGACTGCTGCTAACATTTGCTTCTTTTTTTTTTGGCACCGGGGATCAAATTCGGGACCTTGAGCTTTCGAGGCAGGCGCTGGAGCCACTGAGCTAAATCCCTGGCCCTAACATTCACTTCTTATGGTTTATTTCTGAATAATTTTCAAATAAGTTACTATCTCTGTGACATCTTCCCCCAAATATTCTTGGTTTTTTCCTTAATGGCATTTTCTTACTTAATTGTGATAACATTGCCACAGCTAACAACAGTAACAAGACTTCCCTAGTGCTGCTGAGTAGCCATCTGTATTCACATGTGCCCGTTGTCCCCACGTGTCCTTTTCTACTGCCTCATCCAAAGCAGGATCTGTGTGCACGAGGTGGTCACGCACCTCTTGTGTGACCTCACATCTAGAAGGAGGCCCGTTGTGTGGTTTGGAGGCGTCTGAGCATCTCCCAGGGCTCCAGAGCTGGACTTGGTCCCCAGTGTTGTGAGACCTCAGAGCTTGGGCCTAGTTGAGGTGATCAGATCCTGGGCACTGTCCCTGGAAAGGACTCAGGCTGGTCACCCACTGAGTCTGTGCTCGATTGGCCACCCACATGCTTGGCCCCTTCTGGGCACGGCTGGTTCCCCCTCTGATTCTCCTCGGTACTGTGACGAAGCCAGGGCCTCTTGTCAGGATGCCACTGCCACCTTCTTCAGACTCTTCAGACAGCAGAACCATAAGCCAAGTAAACGGCTTTGTAAATTACCCAGCCTCAGCGTTTTGCTACAGCAACACCAAACGGACTGAGACAACCCACCGACCTTTTGTTTTTATGACCTTGACTATGGAAGGGGCTGGGCCGGGTGGTGCAGGGAGCAGCAAAGCCTCTGATCTGTTTCCTCTTGCCTTTGTGTACGGTATTGCTTGGGATGGCATGGGAAGGGCTCGTGACATCAAAAACAGGTCTGATTAGACCCGGGTTAGACTTTTGGGCCAGAATGTCTTAGAGGCCACCAGAAAGCACAGCATGATTCTTGGGGACTCCAGGATTGGTCATTGGTCCTCCCCACATTACAGCTGTGACCACCCCCATTGGGGATCATCAAAGAATCTATGGGGACACTGGCATATGACACTGGCATTTGGGTGAACATCCATCCTTGCCGGTCTGTCACCAGTGCCCATTGGTGGAAGTGACTGGATCACTCAGGGTGACAAACAGTGATTTCCTCACCCACTGTCTCTTCTGTAGGTGTAGCCTGGCATCCTTCTGGGTGGCAGGTTCCTCCTCTGCTGGGCACATTCTCAGCCTCAAATACAGCTCCTCTCCTGGTGCCAGCATGGGCCTTTAATCTGTCTCCTCATCTATTTTCAGACTTAGGAGTTAGTGGAATAAACTCTACAAGAGAAAAGTAAGGCTTTGTTTGTTTTCCTTCTCTCTTTTTTTTTCCTTCTCTTATTTGATGCTCAAATTGTCACCACTTTGGCCAGCGGTACCGTCTTCTGCTGGCTCCTGAGTCTCCCTGACATGGCTCTTAGTCTTTGAAAGTTTCCTTGCTAGTCTGGCATGGTGGTGCATGCCTACAATCCCAGCACTGTGGGAGGCTGAGGTAGGTGGATCACAAGTCTGAGCCCAGCCTAGGCAACTTAGCAAATTTAGGGGGACGCTCTCTCAAAATCAAGTAAAAAAGGATTAGGGATGTAGCTCAGTGCAAAGGCCCTGAGCTGAATCCCCAGTACTGCAAGGAAGAAAAGGAGAAGCAGAAGCAAGAGAAGGAAGAACAAAGAGGAAAAAGAAGAAAGATGCCTTATTTTCTGGTGCACTACGATGTCCCCAGGCCACCTTTGGATTCCCTCCACTGGGCCTGGAGTCTGCTTTCTCCAAGCAGCCCTGACTCCCCGCCATAGGCAATGGTCTTACAGACCAAAGCCTGAGCACTGGGTACTCACTGTCCACTGATTCTGCATCACTCTGTTTCCTTCTTCCATCTGGGTCTGGCTGCGTCACACATACTGTTCCTCTTCCCAGACCTGACACAGGAAGCCTGGGCAGCTGGCGGAGGTCTGAGGCCCAGGGACCTCAGTGCCTGGGTGGGGTACTGGCCAGGTGGCTCCACAGCCTTAAGCAAGGGGACCTGGGCTTGGAAGGGGGAGCCATGTAGTTGAAGGACAACGATACTGTCAGTGGCACAGGAAGGCTTTGGGCCTTCTGTGTCCTGTCCTTTCCTCCTGTAAGCAGAGCATCTCCTGGCTACACCAGCAGAGCTGTGCAGGGCTCAGGACCCTGCCTGCCGCGGGCCAGCCCCTTTTCCCAGCCCGCCATACTACCTGGCATCTCTAGAGCAACACGTGCATAGGTGCCTTCCACTCCCGCTCCAAGTGCAAAGAAGGGGCCGCGCCTGCACGGCTCCCTTTCAGAATCCAAATGCACAAGGACCCCCCGGGAGCGGCGAACAGCTCAGCATCCACAGCAGGCTGCTCACCCCCCAGAGACAGACCCACTTGTGCCACAGCCCAAGTGCTCCCCCCGGGAAGCTGGATGCACAGTCATGTGGGCAGCACTGCCCGGGAGCTGTTGGGCCTAAATTATCCACTGTGTCCGCCTCTCTGTGTCTTCTCATTTGCTTGCTTGTCTTGCGGGGCATATACAGCTCCCTCCCGAGAGACTCCCCACACTCACCTCACAGACACCCTGCTGCCTAATGGATGCTCCTCCAGGATTTGAAACCCTTCCTCCAGAAGCAAGTGCCCCCACTACTTCCTACTTCGTCTTGGCTCCAAACCTCAGGCTGATCCGTGTGACAGTCCATTAGCTTAGCCGGTGAAGAGTCTGCTCCCAGACTCTGGTGATCTACTGGCTGAGCATGCAGCAGTGAGGATGAAGGTAACTGGGTGGCGGGGTGGGGGGAGCTCAGCCACGAGTTTGGGGTACAGAACTAGAGCCAGGGGAGGGTTTGAGGGTCTGGGAGGGAGGGCAGATGTGGCCAATGTAGTTTGTCTCTGCGAAGTTCAGAGCAAATAGGTTGTAGGTAGCACAGGAGACACATGTCATGGGGAACAGAGGGGAGACACACGTCGTGGGGGGCTCCAGGTCAGGCCATTGTCCTGGTCATGATTTTCTAGGTGTGAGGCCTTGGCAGTGAATTTCACAGAAGCTTGTGCATCTCATCTGTGCTGTTCCTTGGCTTAGGCTTCTTGCAGACCTTCTGGTTTGCCTCCCTTTTCTCAAGAGCAAGCCAGACTGTTCTGTATCCCAGGGCCTTTGCATCTGCCGTCTCCCTGCCTGTAGTATTCTTCCCCGGCTCATGGTATGGCAGCCTCTTTTCTGCATAGAGGACACTGCCCACCTAGACAATCTGGAATGGTCTGGGTGTCTTCTCCCACCAGACTTGAGTCCCACAAGGGTAGGGACCTCAAGTGCTGTGGGACTAACAGTGACTAAGGAGCCCAGAGACAGTGCACGAGTTTCGGGCTGCTCTGGACACATGGCTCCCCATTGCTGTCCCACACTTCCCTGAGCCCTGACTGTGAGCCTGCTTGGCCAGCCAGGGGACAGCGGTGGTCAAGGGTGGGACTGGGGAGGCTCCCACTCCCCACGGGGTGCTGCATAGGGTGCTGGCCTCAGGATGGGTGTGGCAGGGCACTTGCGGTCTCCCTGGCTTCAGGGAGAGGAATAAAACCGTCTCACCCAGGAGTGCCTGGGCTGAAGGGCAGGGACCAGGCCCCACGACACTCTGTCACCTGAGGCCACGACTGCAGCCCCGGGGAACAGAGGAAACCGGAAGCACATGCGTATGTGTACACCTGTGTCTACATCCGTGTGGATTGTGTGTGCACCTGTGTGTGTGTATGTTTTCTCACGTGTGTATTGGAATATGCCCGTGCATATGTGTATGCACATGTGCACCTATGTTCTCACATATGTATCTGAATGAGCGTCCACACGTGTAGATGTTTGCACACGTGTGTTGCATGTGTTCGCACACATGTGTAGATGTGAGTGCACTTGTATGTGTATGTGAACGCATGCCTCCGCTCGCGTATAGATGTATGTGTACCCGTGTGTTGCATGTATACGTGTGCAAGTGTGTAGATCTGTGAGCACTGCGTGTGCTTGTGTGTGCGCACGTGTGTGGCAGCAGGTGGCTCCGGGACACAGGCCATTGGTGGCTTAGTTACTTCTCTCCATTTCGTCCCCTGCCTGAGTGTTGTCCCTCTCACCTCTTCTCTGGAGCAGGGATGACAGATGGTCACCGTCCTGGAGCTGGGCCCAGGCCGTGTCCCCAGAGCCAGCAGGCGGATTCGGAGTGAGCCCGCTGCGATGACCGGCGGGCTGGGGGATCAGTGTCGCTCTCCACAGCCCTGCCACTGCCACAGCCGGGAGCACCATGTGCTGTGGAAGGGGCTCAGGTGCACTGGGCAGGACTTGAACCCGGGCCTGCCCCCCGCCCCGCCCCCGCCCCCCGGTGCGGCCGGTGACCCCCGGTCCGGAGCCCGGCAGTCCCGATGGCGCCCTGCCCCGCTCAGGCCTCAGGTAGGGTGGGAAGGGGACCTTGGTGTCACCCGCACCCAGAACGAGAGAGGGGAAGGGCCCGGGGGGGGGGCGGGCCTCAGAGCGGCGGGGCCCGGGGTGGCAATGAAGAGTCTGAGAGAGGGGCTGGACGGCCGCTAGAGGGGCCCGGCGGGTGCCCGCCCCGGCGCCCGCTTCCCCTCCACTGGCGCCGGCCTCGGTGACCGCGCGTTGCCGGGGCGACAGCGCCACCTGCTGGCGCCCGCGAGTCTGTGCCCTGGGCAGCCCCGCGTCCGGAGCTGCACCCGGAGTCCGCCTGCACCCCAGCCTGGAGGGGCGCTTTCCGCCTGGGACTCCCTAGTGGGCCTGGAGGGAGGGACCAGCCGCCCTCCAGAGCCTGCGGGACCACCGCGCGCGCCACAGCGACCTCCAGGCGAGTACCTGCCGGGCGGGGCGGGGCCAGCTCTCGCGGGACCCGGCCCAGGTTGCCTGGCCGAGTCAGCACTGCCTCTCCTACGGGAACCCCCCTACCTGCCTCCCCTGAGTCCCCTCGCCTCCGAGGGAGCTGAGTCCCTTTCCTATTCGAGGCCCCCTCCACCGGGGCCCCTCTGCAGGCCCTCGCTCCGCCCGGCCTGGCCTTGCTGGCCCTCTGACCCCGCTGCTGACCCTCCCGCTCTGGCCTCCGCAGGCTCCGGGCACCCCACGCCTTGGGCTCCTGTCCCCCCTTGTGGGGTGGCCCCTCCTGACCTCCTTCTTCCCTGACTTCTCAGCCTCCTTCCTCTTCACGTGCCCCCCGCCCAGGCCTGGTCCTGCCCTTCCTTTTCTGTTCCCCCCTCAGCCGCCTGCCCGTGCACCTGCCAAGTGGAAGTCATCGGAGTCCTCATCATCCTTGGAGCAGTGCTCCGCCCCCACCGGGGACCACAGGGCACCCGCTCTGGCTGGGAGAGTGAACCCTGCTTACCCACCTGCCCAGCTCAACTCGGCCGCCCCCTGTGCTCCCCCCGCATCTCCCCGACTGAGCTCCAGACCCCTGCCTGGCCCCCTCTTCTCTGCCCTGCTGCCCCTGGTCCAGCTTCATCTCCCCCAGGGGACGGCTGGGTCCCCACCCCCTGCCGTCCTCCTTGCACATTGGAGCCACCCTGCTCTGCTGTGAGGTGTCGTCCCAAACACAGAGGATGCCCCATCATCCTCCTGCTTGGTGGGCCTCAGGGGCCCCCATTGCCTTCCAGTGGAGCCCAAACTCCTGAACAAGTCTTGGGCCGGCCCCACCTCCTGGGTCCCCTGTCCTTGTCCAGCCACATGAACTGTGCCCTGATGGGCCACGTTCACTTCCCCCAGCACCCTCAAGTGTGGACATCCTGAGCCTGAAGTGTCCTCTCCCCATTTCCGGGCTCTGCCTTCCCCAGTGGAACTCAGCTAGTACTATCCCCTCTGAGAGGCCTTCTATCATCCCCAGTGTGATTTGGCGCCCTGTCTGCATTCCCCTGGCACAGTGGACGCCTCTGGCCACTTGTTGTGTGGTTTCCTTATTTCCTTATTCTTTTTGCATTGAGATGTGAGTCCCTTGGATAGGAACTGGGCCTTCACAATTGTCCTCTCAGTAGCAATCATAGAATCTCCTCGATGCTTAGTGAATTTGAGGTTCCCTCCCCCTTTATTTGAGACACGATTGTGCTAAATTGTCCAGGCTGCCCTCAAACCTGAGCTCCTCCTGGCTCAGCCTCCAGAGTGGCTGGGGTTGCAGGTATGTGCTACAATGCCCTGGGCTTCTCTCTTTTTAGCACAAGTATTTAGCACTATAAATTTCCCTCTCAGGATCCTTTTGCTGCATCCTACATATTTTGGTATGTTGTATTTTAATTTTCACTTTGTTTTATATGGTTCTTAATTTACTCTCATGAGGCAGGAGGATTATAAGTTCAAGGCCAGCCTGGACAACTTAGCAAGACCCTGTCTCAAAATAAAATAAAAAGGGCTGGGGATGTAGCTCAGCACTGCAATACTTACCTAGCATGTATGAGGCCTTGGGTTCAATCCCTAGAAATGAAAAAAAAAAAAGTGTATTGTTTAATTTCCAAGTGTTGGCACATTTTTCTATAGTCTTCCTATTATTGATCCTTAATTTGATTCAGGGTCAGAGAACATATTCTGTATGATTTTGATTCTTTTGAATTAGTTACTTTTATTTTATGACCCAGGATACAGTTGGCCTTAATGAATGTTCCACTGACATTTAGCATATATTCTGCTGTTGAGTGGAGTCTTCTGTACTGGGTCTCGTGGCTGGTTGTGTTGCTTAGCTCTTCCATGTCCTTTGGATTCCCTTTATTCCTGCTGTTCTTACCCTTCTGCCACCTGACCGGAGTGGGCTGTTGAAGTCCCCAGCTGGAACTGTGGATCCTGTTTTGTTTGGGGTTTTTTTGGTACCAGGGATCGGACTCGGGTCCTTGTGCCTGCACAGCAGGCAGTGAAACCACTGAGGTAAGTCCCTGGCTCAGTCCTGGTTTTTCCTTCTGCTCTTGGTTTTGCTTCCTGTATTTGAGGCCCTGCTGTTTGGTGCACACAGTTGGGGGCTGTTCTTGACCTCCTTGTCATTGTGCAATGTTCCTCTATCTTTACTAATTTTCTTTGCTTGAAAATCAATTTATCTGATATAAATCTATCCATTCATGCTTTTAAAAAATTAACATTTGCACAGTTTATCTTTTTCCATCTTTTTACTTTCAACCTACCTATACTGTTGAATTTGACATGAGTTTCTTGTAAAGAGAGCACAATTGGCTCTTTTTTTTTTTTGGTACCAGGGATCGAACTCGGGACCTTGTGCTTTCGAGGCAGGCATCAGAACCACTGAGCTAAATCCCCAGCCCTCTGGCTTTTAATTGGCATCTTTCAATCCTTTGGTTTTGTTTTTTGTTGTTGTTTTTTGCAGTACTGGAGATTGAACTCAGGACTTTGTGCTTGGGAGGCAGGCACGGTACCACGGAGCTAAATCCCCAGCCCATCAATCATTTGCTTTTAAGGCATAAGTCTGCAATGTTATTTTTTTTTCCCCTTCCTGCACCATTTTCTAAAGGATCCCATCCTGATGTATTCCTAGTGTTTTTGAGTGTGTGGTACAGGTTTCTTACTGAGTTACAGTGCACACACATGATCTCTCAAGGTCTACTGGGGTTGATGTTTTAACACTTCAAGCGGTGCTTCTGCCTCGCTTTATCTCCCTTCTTTTAAATATCATCGATGTGACTGTCAGATGGTGTTATGGTTTTGTTTCAATCATGATAGCACTCCTAGCTGCCACAGTTTCAAATGAGTCATCTACTGTAATTTGAATTAGTGTTTCCCTGTAAACAATGCATTTTTTCTCCATGGATTTCTTTTTCAGCGCTAGGGATTGAACCCAGAACCCTTGCATTAAGCTACATCCCAACCCTCCTCCTCTTTTTTTTGTGGTATGAGGGATCAAACTCAGGACCTTGCACTTGAGAGGCAGGCATGTGCCACTGAGCTAAATCCCCAGCCTATGAAAAGTCTCTTGTTTTGTAATTTTTTTTTCTGGTACTGGGGATCAAATTCAGGACCTTGTGCTTGTGAGGCAGGCATGGTGCCACTGAGCTAAATCCCCAGCCCCTCTCTCCTCCTCCTCTTCATCCTCCTCTTGCTCTTTTTTGAGACAGGGTCTTGCTAAGTTCCTGAGTTGCCCAGACTAGGATTGTCTCGAGATCCTCCTGTCTCAGCCTCCAAGGGTTCTGGGCTTACAGTATTATATCCTCATACTTGGCTAAGGGTTTTTGTCTTTAGTTTTCATAAGTTTAATTATGATGTGTCTTGATGTCAGTTTTGTTTCGTTTTTAGGAGATAAGGCCTCACTATGTTGGCCAGGCAGGCCTCCAACACCTGGGCTCAAGCACTTCTCCTGCTTCAGCCTCTCAAGTAGCTAGGGCTACAGGTGCATACCCCTGAAATTGGTCTTGTATAGATTTTTTTGTCTTCTCCTGGTTGGAATTTGTTCTGTTTCTTGAATCTGTGGAGTTATGTCTTTCACCAAATTTGAGAAGTTTTAGCCATTATTTCTTCAAATACTCTCAACCTCTTCCTTCTCTTCTTAGACTCTGATAATTGAATATTACAGTTGGTTGTTGTTGTTACGGTCTCATAGATCTCTGAAGCTATGTTAACTTTTCAACAGTCTACTTTCTCCTTGTTCAGCTTGAGTCAATTAGATTGATCTATGCTGAAGTTTACCGAGTCCCTCCTGAGAGTCTACATCGGAGTCCATCTGGGAAGCTTAAAAAATTTCTACTATTGCAGTTGGGCCCTGCATTCAGAGGTTCTGCATCTGAATATTCAACTAGCTTCAGAGCAAAAACATTTGGGAAACAAAAAAGCAGTCTGCACTAAATATGAATACACTTTTTTCTTGTAATTAAAAATTCTTGCGATGTCTTGCTCCTTAAACAAAACAGCTTAACACCTGTTTATGTAGCATTCCCACTGTATTAGGTATCATAAGTGACCTAGAGGTGATCTGAAAGCTACAGGAGGACATGCACAGCTTCTAGGCAACTATACGCCACTTTATATAAGTGACTGGAGCCCTCCACAGATACCGAGGGACAGCTGTGTAATTTTCAGCTCTGTAATTTCTGTTTGGCTCTTTGTTTTGCTTTCCATTCCTTTGCAAAGAATTTCAATATTTTCATTCATTTCAAGAGACTTGACAGTTGCTTGTTGAACAGTTTTTATGATGGTTGCTTTAAATCCTGATCACTTCCTTCCAGTATCCAGTTCATCTTGATGTTGGTATCAGTCACTTGTCATTTCCTTCACATGGAGCTTTTCCTGCTTCTTGGGATCCTAAGTCACTCTGCTCACATCCTGAACATTTCAGTGCCTAAATTAGGA